GGGCGGCCGCTAGTAAAAAATAATACTGTAAAGTTTCACCAAACTCCGTTCAGTAGTTTTAGCGTGAAAGAGTAGATAACAAACATCCACCCAGACATTCAAACTTTCGCATTTATAATATTAGTAGGATAATCTAACTGTCATTATCGCAAATTTTGTGCAGAGCAGTTAGCTGCATCAAACATAAAAAATGATTTGTAAACACAGATAAGTCAACATCTGTATCAAGGAAAATCAAGAAGGACCGATTTTCCGCAAATTCATAACGGCATTGAGGGCGTTTGTCGTCGCATATGCGCATATCATCATCGTTGAATTTCAAAGTTTTAGATTTACTGTGTTCATCGCTGTAAATATTCAATGCACGCTGTTGAATGAAGGTCTCTGTATGTTGCCATTCCGCGTTAGGTAAACTAAAGACCGGCACTAATTATCCATATCAATGACAAAATGTTATTAATTTTTTTTTTTTTATTTATTATTCATTATTGAGCAATTACATATTTGATCCAAATAGCGTCCTAAATCCTTTTTAGGTTTGTCTAGACACTATAAATGTCTGCTATCTCTCGTTAAAGCCACAAATGTTATCGTTTTCCTGATGACCGAGTTAGTAAAAGATCGACCAATAAACACCTATTGAGCATTTGAAACAGTACAACAATCAGCGGACTGTATTCCGAGAAAAGATTTACCGGAGGTATTCACATCTTAATCTGTTTTTTTGTGATCGCCATAAAAAGGTAGTTGAGCACAATGGCGGCACACAATGGGCCACATGGTGGAATACGTTTCTTCTTTTTGGGCTATTCATAAAGATGCAGATTTTTACTGTTCGCAATTAGAAACACGCGATAAGGTTTGCCGGATCATTTCTCCATTCATGCTGAATCTGTATACCTACAACTGTTGAATGTAGTTCGTATGAGCATGCAGATGGACTGATATGAAGTGAATAAGGTTTAAATTTAGATTTTGCATTAAAGAGATGCAACGAGAGATAGCTGAGGCACTGAGGTGCATGAGGTAAACGCTGGAATATTTTTTATGGGTATCGAGTTAAATAAATGGATCTGTCATACTTGTCATATTGTGCTTGTCATAAGACAAACTCCCAGGACCCTTGGCCTTAATGTGCGTGTCAACAGTCCGCGCTCATATTGTTGATCAATATTCCGTCTACTCACGCCTGAGTTTAATTGTATAACTATCAGTTCTAGATAAGATTCGTCTATTTTTTGACTTCGTTATCGGTATTCCACGTCTGCGGTTGCGCATTAAGTAGATGTATCACTTACTGAAATTATGTTAAGATTTTTTTGCTATCAATTATTTTTATGGTTTGCAAAATCCACTAGGTACTATCAATGTGGTAAGATTTTATGCCATGATTGCTCATTACCGCCAAAAAAATTAAAATCTATAAATAAATCAAAATCCCAAGTCGTAATTTACGTTAAGTGCTCAAATAAGGAACACCAATTTAAATCGGTATTTGAGCGCAGTGATAAATGAAAAGTACCAGTATCGTTTAAATTACAAGACCTAAAAAGGTTACAGTTATTGCGATACAAAATATTAAAATTAATTGAAACATGATGAATGGTTTCTGTGAACTTTAATTCCGTTTAGTAGACCTTCATCTGTCTTGCCTAATTCGCTTAACGTCTGGATTAAAGGGGCTTTAGAATTTTCAAATAACGTTATTCTTTTTTCGTTATTCAAAATTTCAAATTAAGAAGCATAATTAATTTGCCGTTTCGGTAAAGGTTTTTGATGACAAAATAACAAATGAAGGTCGATGTCTTTTTACAGTTTTCATGATGAAATATTTGGATCGCATGTTAAAAGTTACTATTGTATTTAAATATATTTTTAAATGTAATTTTACAAAATCGAAACATCGTAGATTCAGCTGTGAATGTGATAACAGAGTGGGCGTAAGCATCCCGTTGATGTCTTTTGTACTATGAACGAAATTACATTCTATTTGGTTTTAAATTTCACATAATTAAGGGTTATTTTACAAAAAATCGTTATCAATTAGTTAAAAAGAAATGCGGCGGGCGTTTTAAGAAATATGACCCCATTTTTATTTTCCCCTAAGCCCTCATTTTATGCACATTGCCTTTATAAGGGACACAGGTCGTGTCCTTCGTACTGCGCCCTTTACCGTACAGGTGTGGGAGCACCTGTAATTGCGCACTTTATCTATTTTTGTGCCCTTTAGAAAACTTAAATAAGGCATGGTCACTATATGTAGGACAATTTACGTTGGTAATAACTTTAAAATACATTTGCAATTCAACATAATTATGAGACCTTAATTTTGTTTCGGTAGGGTTTTATTATGTTATTTGTGGTCCTAATGCAGTTTTATTGTTTGCATGTAAATGGTCGGAGTGCTATAAAATAAAGTTTGAACTACATATTCGGAGTATATTTTTTGTTCTACAAAGGTCGTCTTAAATTCATACTCAAACGACATATTATCGTCTGCTGTACAGCTGGGGTCATCCAAATTTAACCCTCGCTGTACGAGGTGGGGTGTGACACACCCCAGTCCTTTAAAAATAGCCACAATTTTATAAATTCGCAAGTGCTGAATTTGAAATTCTCAGTAGCTGGAATTATGACACTGCTGCTTCGATCAGCGTTGCAAAATCAGTCCAGCGGTGACTACCAACTGAGTTACATGCCTTTAAAGTGCGTGTGGGTGTCACACACCCCACCTGGTACGGGACGTTGTTAAAAAGTTTTAAAAAAATCTAACAGTTTTGGTGTAATTTATATATTTTTAGCTTTGTCAATTAAATAAAATTCAATACAATTAATATTTTTCGTGATTTTTACGGTATCTGAAATTTTCAAGCACTTTTAGTCAAATGAGATGACTTTTAGTGCGAATCTGGAAGTTTAGTACTGAGATCCGAAGATGTATGTGAACATACACTTATGGGCTACAATTTATACTTGGTGATACAATTTATGGGCTACTGAAATGGAATAACATATTTTATAAATAAATAAAATTGTTACGCTCCCATTTTATGCATTGAGCATACTCATTTTCTTTCATCAGAATTGTGGTAAATTGAAAACCGATGATCAAAACAAATTTATACCCTTCCAGTTTTTAATTTACTTTTAAATTATAAGTAAATACTTGTACTTTGTTAAATAAAAACAGTTGTCATAATTAAAGGCACTAATTAAAAATTATACATAGGAAACTGATTCCTAAATTACAAGAACAACGGAAATTGTGTCTTTTTGTTTTTTTATGATAAAAATGTTATAATACATATTTTCAGCTCAGAGCATTTCTTAAACCTAATTAGCATACGTAAATAATCAATATTAAATATTAAATTCCACCTAAAAAAATTTTGAATGAAAATTTTATCACTTTGTATATTGGGGTGTGTCATACCCCACCTGGTACGGGACGTAACTTTTAGTCACCTCGTACACGGAGGGTTAAAAAACAAATGAATGAATGCGGCGTTGAATAACCGGTGTGACATGGCGAGCGAACTCTATGCAAATACAGGCCACGCATACAGCGTACATGTTAATTATATTGAAATGACAGTGGAGATTGCGGTGACTAACCTAAATACAAAGCGGCGTCGATGGCAGCGCCGGATGTCGCGCCATTGTGCTGCAACCATTGACACCTCGTGCCTACATCATCCGGTCAATTCCAGTCTCGTGGTCGGCCTATTAGCGTGTCGAACGGTCACCGTTTTGGCTGTGAACCGCGAAGGTGTGCATGTTCAGAACCATCCAGATTGGTCAGTGACTCGGAAATCGATCTTGGACTAAAATAGGCCATATTGACGCCCAATGCACTCATTGCTTTAGGGTTCTTTCTTTTTGGATATTAGTCAAAAGTCAATCCAAAAGTGACTACGTTTTGCAAGATATCTTGTCTTTTCCTTCATTCTCGTTCTTCCCCATCATTTAATCTTAGAGAGCACAAAAAAGTCCACTGCCTTAATTTAACTCTATCCTCTTGCCGTCTCATAGATAAAATGGTGCCTCCATTTTACTACAGTTAGTCACTCCGACAGGCACAAAGTCATATCCTTGGAATAGCTATTCCTATTCGAGTCACAGATGCCTTTGCTGATAATATCGGTCGCATACAAAAAGGTTTTGGGCATACCTACTCAACTTGTCATTTTATCCTTCACAAAAAAGTGAGATATAGCTAAAATAACACGGAGCCAACTTTTTAGCATGTACCTACACGAGAACAAACATTTCGTAGAATTATAAAAACATCACAGTTAGATCAGTGATTCACACATAGTGACTACCTACATAGAACCGTTAAAATGAGCCGCTGGTCAACTCCGGTTGATGATTGTTTACATTGATTCCAATTTTTTTTATAATGACAACTTTGAAACAAAAAATGTTAGCAGTAAAAAATACAACGCTATCTCATTTGTTGCTATTTAAAACCAAAAATCTACAGCGTAAATAAAAATAAATGTAAAAGTATACGAAGAAAAAGCAAAGGCTCCAACAAAAGCAACAAATGAAGGATTAGGATCACGCAAGTCACACAAATGCTCTCAGGTAGGCGTTTCCTAGCAGACCGAAACCAAGAACAGGATTTTATCCAAGTGCGATCAACTTTTTTGGAATGGCAAGTGGCCGTTATGGTGGCATTGATAAAAAATAAAACTAGCGTTACACTTGGATCGCCAATGTGGGAGCTATAAATAATGTAATGCATGAATGATCCGCAGTAATGATATCGAATAAGGAAAGTGAAGAAACAGGTGAAGATGCTATGAGATACACCGACGATTCAAATTCTTAAGATAAAATTAACGAATGTGAAGATGATGGATTAAGAAAAAAGACATGAATGTGAGCTGTATGGACAAGTAAGCAATTGAAAAATGACCAAGAGCATCAGACACAAAATGTTGAGATGAATGGGGCCATTATGAGGGTACAAAGATGAAACTGAGATGACTTACCGGCGCATTCTTTATCCTTCTTGGAGAGAAGGGGTATGGGCCCGTCATCTAATGGAGATCCAGGGCACAAAGTGTCAGCCTTGCTGGCGAGCAACTCCTGACCCTCCTGGAGACCCAACTGCTGCTCATGCAGCCGTTTCTTTATAAGGAAAATCTTCGGCATCTTGTCGCGTTAAATGTACACTGCACTCGATCCTGTTCGTATCTGTCACTGTCTTTAAAATTCACAAGTCAGCATCGTATCATCACACTGCACGGTAGGATTCCTCGCGTTGTTTATTTTGTGCGGAGCAGCTAGCGGCACATGCAGTACCGTTGGCCGCTGCGAAAGGACTGAGAGCTAGTGTGCGGTGCCTCGACACCGTTGCCCGAACAGGTCCGCCCCCGCCCGCGCCGGCGCCGCCCGCCCGGTGCGCCNTACGGCCGAGCGTGCGAGCGAGAGAGGTATGCAAAGCGAGGTACATACATGAGTTTACCTTCTGTTATATTTTGTGCGCCCGCCCGGTGCGCCCGCGCACACCAGCGCGTCCCGGCCCGCGACCACTTACACAACCACACATTCCTGTATTACCAGTAAAAGTGCTGCATCTTGTATAGGTGACCAGACTCATCATTCAACAATACCTCTTTTATTTAGCTTCATTTAACGCGGTCTAAACTTTTCACAACAAGCGGCTCATTAAGGCTTGTTTCTGATTTCTGATTTTAATATTCTGTTTTTATTTTATTTTAATAATACCTGGAAATATAAATTAGATGCTAATATTAGGAGTAATAACAAATCTTCTGTCTTTTACAATAAAATGTGTAATTATGTAAATCAATATCCACTTCATTTACATAATAATAATCAAGACAAATGTTTAATCAAGACCTACCTCAAAATATGTACTTGAATTTACTTTTTTTCTAGAATTCATAATTTTTTTCCGTTATCTTTGCTAAAACTCATCAACAAGGCTATTTCCACTCATGTATTTTGTAATTAAGTACATAAAATATATTTCATTTCACCAATACATTTCTTTTATTTAAAATTATTAATATTGTTTACCACTACTTGTACCTACCTATTTCTGTAATATACCGTTTTCATAAATAAGGAGTAGCTTCATAAAATTTAGATAAGTCATAGTCCTCTGCTGATAATATTACATATTCATGAGGTAATACAGCAAGCTTCAATGTTCATGTTTCTAGTAAAAAAATACCCACGGCTTTCTGTCGGCGTCGATTCAATCAACGGGAAACTATGGAATAATGGCAACAGGCAGACTGTAATCACTGAAGGGAAAATATTCCTTGTTTCGTACTATCCTTTCACAAAGCAACGGGCATAAAGCATGGTAATAAAGTTTACAGTCCTTTTGTCTGCTCATAGTTTTGGTGCTAAAATTAAAATCTTATTGTTTGGCCCATTTTGAAAGTATTGTCGGCGTCTTTGTTATTGCCGCCGTTCATATCTTTCTGGCGATTGTTTTGCTTATTGCTTATTACATAATATCCTTTGGTATGTTTCAGATGTGTCAGAAATATTAACACGAATATGTTAATCTCAGATTTACTATACAAGTTTTCTGCTAAGACTCACTCGATAACACAATTCTTTTGCAATTTCTTCAATCACATCCTATAATGGACTTCCTCTCTCTTATGAAGTGTGTCCACATCCTGTATTATAGATTCTCGACGGGAAGTGCAAACTTATTTAAGAAGGCATTAAATATACATTCTATGATTCCGACATCACTGAGGATAGCATTTCCCTTAAAAACATAACAAATAAAGAAATGAGCTGTGAAATTTGTTTGCAGTTCACAATGGAATCCGCAAAGCTATGCAAAGAAGAGATTACTTACGTCGTACAAATAACTTAAGCTCTAAGGCTCCGTACCAAGAAAACGGTTTATGTTTTTTTCAAGCGTGCAAGTGGATTCTTCCCGAATACCTGTGAATTTGCGACTTAACTGATTATTTTAGCAACAAAAGTGGCACTTATCACTGTTTATTTAACTGTTTTTAAAGTTTCTAAAAGATTTTGGGTGGTTTATGATTCTTTGGTTTTTACTTTTTTAGGCTGTTCAATATTCTTCTTAGAAATTGACCATAAATTATAAAAGGATTATCAGATGCAAGATTCAACTTTGTATGCGTGATGGAGAACGTGATAGGTATCTGCCTTGATTTTCATGGTTGAATAAACCTTTATTTCAAAAACCATAAATCATGTTTAATATAAATGCACCTAACGAGACCATAAAGTGGCAAAGCGTTGTTTCGCGTTAAAAATAAAAGCAAAACTGTAACTTGCTACCGAAATGGTTGTTTACTTTTTTGGCTTCAAATAAAAAATGGAAGTTATACGGCACGTGTTTTTTGTTGAAAGAAGGTAGAATAAATACCAGTGTGTTTAGCTAGGTGTAAATTCTGCTGCTTACAATATAAATATCGTTTAAATTACATCCACTTAAAAATAACAGGACAATTTTTAATGCGCGTATGTAGTAATCAAGTCGTACATTTATCACGCAATTAAGCGTACTTTAATAACTTACTTTTTCGCGTATTCACACTTACACAAGAACTTAAAGTTATAATAACTTTTGTCTAACTTATGAGCTGTTCGCGTCATGCATGTATCAAAGAAGTAGCATAATGTATCTAGCGCTGCAACGTGAAACATGCGTAAGATGTTCTGATGCTGATTGCAAAAGCAAAGCAGATACTTATATGACCCAATACATTTTTTTTAAATTGAATGATGCATTAAGCGATTTTAAGGCTTAGCACTCTAGATCCGTACCGCTCATTACAAATACTAAAAGCGCAATGTAATGTATGCTTCAGCGGTTGATAAAGTAAAGTTGTGGAAAGTATTCAAATAATTCAGGATAAATGCGTGGACTTGCATGAACCAAAATTTACAGATCTAAAGGAGGTATAATTTAAAAACAGTTATCTTTTTGAGCGTGTTAAAAATCGTGCGCAACTTGGAGTGATTCAGATTGCGCTCGCGTGGAACTATAATGTAAGCTCTGTACGAGAATTTAATTAACTTCACGCTACATTAAAGTTGGACTGAGGTGGCGAACAATATCTTTGGAATAACAAAACTTGATGCTAAAAAGTTCAAAATTATTTTGACAAGTGGCTTGCAAGACAGTATATGAATAAACCACTGAACGAACGTTGCGCGAGAGGGTATATTTTGTATGTGCGCAGAAGGGATTTAAATTCAAATAGTTTTTTCAGTACGTAGGTCCTTACTAGGGCACTTTTACACGTCTCAAATATAGTTTGCCCTATTACCACTTCGGGACAACATATGGGCTGAGAAGAAGTGGCGGAAGAAACTCAATCACCTTAGTCAATATGATTGATGATCATTATTATTTCCTTTTTCGAAAACCGTTGCTAAATGACATTTAAGATAATCGTTCAAAAAGTCAATTATTTTGGCTTGCAAAAAAAAGTCATTCTCGACACACAATTGCTGAGCGGTGGCCAATTTTGGTTCTAACTTGTACTTGTTTTTTGTTATCTGTGTGTTATATTTTAAGTTGGAACCAAATAAATGTTTTTCTTTCGTTAAAATGGTTGTCTTTTCGAGATCTTTCGTATAGTGTATGTGATTTTTGTGCACACACTACGTACAGCTAACTATACTGATTTACCTGAGAATGAACTGTCATATCCCATAAGATTTGGCCAAGTTAAGGGCATTAAGCTCGCCTGTATTTTACGCGAGCGAGGGGCCACTTATGTAAATACCGCATCTTTCTCATACGATTTTAATTGAGATTTATGTGATAAAATAATGATCTTGGATCTGTGTTCAGCCGAGCGGCGGCGGCTGCGGTGCGTGTGCCGATTGCGCAAGCGGTGTTGCGCGCGCGCCGGTTCCGCTCCGCCGCCCGTCAAGTTCTCGGCAACGCTAACCTCCTTCAAGTTTAGGTGGAAGTGGCTCGCCAACGTTGGCCCCAACCTTGGTACACGTAACCGATGTTAGAGATTATGATAAGTTTACGTTTGTCACCGATCTAACTGCATCTGGGTAGGTTAAGTAAGCACATAATATCATGGCGATTCGTGATCTCTTTCGCTTCTTTGCCATTGGTCCTATTGTCATTTTTTTTATCAGTATTATGATCGGCGGCGCAAGCATATAGGAATAGTAAATTTTCATAGTTTTAATATTATTTTGCTTGACATTATTTTTCTGGTATTAGTCCAGCCAATAAAGCATTATAGATGGAACACAATTTCTGACTTCGGGACTTTATTTAGACTAGTTAGGAGGTAAACATAGCAAAAGTCCCCGCCCTTAGCCCTTGAGCCGGCGGGGAGAGGGGGGTTTAAAGGTACAACTTTTCAGTTTTTCGCCTAATCCTCGGAAACTATGCGTCCTAGCACAGAATAATAATAAGTACTACGTACAGAAGTTTTACTTCGCGATGGTATTTAAAAAAATGTATGTTCAATGTCATTAACAATATGGTGTAATTTAGCCTGTCTCAAGAGTCAAGCACCATTTTGTTGACAAACGTCAGTGATCGGTACTGCGCCGAAGCTATAGGGCTGACTTCGGTAAAATGATGTGACGTGAGGTGCCAAACTGCGGAAAATGGCGGAGGAAATACATGATTTAGCATCAATTATCATGAATAATATTAACTACTTATTTACCTCTCAGTGTCTTGAGGCAACTTAAAAAAGTACATTCTGTTTTTATTATTATTTAGGCAGTTAAATACTGCACAGTGTTCGTACACCATTTTCTTTATTTTCTTCCATCATACACAAGAATACGCGTGCGTGAGTCAATGTTCGCTCATATGTGAGGCCTTGTCGAATAGTATCCTGTAGGTGGGCCATCGTGCGTGTTTTGTTTTCGATGAAACTCGCGGAGATGAACAGGCCTGGTCCTAGTGACATGACTACTCTACTACTAATACTCTCTACACCGTTGTTAAGGCATTCATTGACTGGACTATATTGAATCTTAGTGAAATCAGTACGATATTTCTATTTGTAAAGACTTGAAACTTATTCAAAACTACACTAATACCTACTCTCGATTCTTCTGCGATTTTTAACCATTAATAGTTCTACATTTTATATTAAAAAGTCACCCAGTCTAAAATACATTCAATATGACGTATCTAGTGAATTAATTATTTTATAATGAGAAGTTTTATTAATGACACATTAAAACAGAATATAAGAAAGATGTGCATACGCATGGCATTGACATTAACTGACGGGTTTTCAACGGGTATAAATAAATGTTTGAAAGTCTGTAGAAGTCATTAATAAATTAATCTAGAAGTTTTAAGAAAACTGAGAATTTTATT